GCATATGTCCTGTTCTCATACTCCGCCTTCCTGTCTGGAGTGCTGTGCAATGAGTGCTGCACTTCAAGCTGGCTAAAATGCATGGTGATGGGGGTTGAGTGCGGTGGGTAAGGGTCGTAGTTTGCAGGGCTGGGTGGTGAAGCTACAGGTGTTGGAGGCAGCTGGTGGCAATAAGAACCAGGATGTTGGGGATAGTGGGTTGGAGGTGACATGGGGGCACAAGGGAAAGAGTTTTGGGACAAGGGCTGCAGTGGGGAGGGGAGGCGCGATAGTGCTCCACCTGCATGGCTACGAGCGCCTGGATCGAGTCTGCTTGGCGCTCCATAATGCTTATCAGCCGCTCTGTGCTTTGGTGCCGGCGCTCCGCATTCTACTAATGGATCCTCCTTTTGCTCTCCCTCCACGCCTGCGCTTTTTGATTTTCATGAAGGGACTGCTGCATTACTTCATGCAGCATGTCTTCTTTGCTTCTACGTGGCCTCTTCCTAATTCTTTGGAGTCTTTCGGCCGGTGATAACACAGACGGCTGAGATCTCAAGGTTGCATCTGTAAAGGCAAAATGCAACACTTAACAGAGGTAGCATTGTTCACACCAGACAGAGCAATGATTCGCCCGTCTTAAAGACAAGCACAGTCTAAACAATAGCAGAATTTGTCCGTTCCAAAGTGAGTGCACATAACCCACAGGAGCCCCAAAATGGTGAGTAAGCACAGGGTCAAGGAGGACTGATTGTTTCACGGCCGTACTGTCCTCTGGGGTTCTGTGCCTTGGGGAAAGCCTACAGCTGCAGGGGGCCCCTATACTGAACACTGTCCCCACATTTTCCACAGGAGTTGGTTCTGGAAGATATCTCGCTGCTGAGGGTGACCTGGGAAGCAAGGGAGGGTCTTCTACTACAATGCAGCTTCCGCCCTGGCCCATATGCAGCTTGCCTGTGTGCAGCAATGGTCCCCCTACCCCCTCACGGCACAGTGGCATGGACATGTTAGCCTGACTGGGACAAGGAGCACAGTAGCGCTCCCAAGGGTCCTGCGCAAGCACATTGCACAGCTTCTGCATGAGACTTTTGAAGAGATCACTGAGGCCGATTACCGCGATGTGAGAGAGCACATCAATGCCCTATTCTGCATCTAGGCATGCATGCAGCCCTAGCCCTCCTCACCCCAAGAGCCCGCACCGAATAACTTCCTTCCCAAAATAAAAGCCGCTTACTGGGCACGTCCGCAGTGACTGGCTACCTTCCTCCTGGCTTGAGAACAGCTCCTGGCTGCATGCATCTAGGGATGCCAGGGTGTCTTCCTCCTCCTCAGTACCCTCACTCCCGCTTTCCTCCTCCTCCTCCTGCCTTGTTGAACTGGGCTCTGAAGTGTCCATGGTGGTCCTCGGAGTGGAGTTGGGGTCACCCCCAAGTATCGCGTCCAGCTCTTTGTAGAAACGGCAGGTTGTGGGGGCAGCACTGGAGCGGCGGTTTGCCTCGTGGACTTTGCAGTAGGCATTCCGCAGCTCCTTCACTTTAACCCTGCACTGCAATGCGTCCCAGTCATGGCCCCTTTCCATCATGTCCCTTGATATCTGCCCGAAGGTATCATAATTCCTATGGCTTGAGTGCAGCTGGGACTGGACAGCTTCCTCCCCCCAAACACTGATGAGGTCCAGCACCTCGCCATTGCTCCATACTGGGGCTCGCCTGGCGCGTGGAGGCATGGCCACATGGAAAGATGCGCTGAGAGCACTCCACACCTGGCTGAGGAAACAGGAATGGGATTTTCAAAATTCCCAGAGAATTTAAAGGGCGGGCCTGACAGTTGGTCACCTAAGGGCAGAGCAGTAGAGTTCAAAGTGATGACCAGAGTGGCTAGAACAGGCATTGTGGGACACTTCTGGAGGCCGATCAGAGTGCATTAACAGACCAGGGCATCCACACTGGTGCCGCAGCGCTCCAGCCAGGGTGCACCAAGCGTTACGCCTCTTGTGGAGGTGGATTAGCAGGAGCGCTCCAGCCGCAGAGTCAGGGCGCTCTACGTGCCAGTGTGGATCCGTCGTGACTTAGTTGCTTTAATGCACCCTAACTCACAAGTGTAGCCAAGCCCTCAGTCTCTCCACCTACTCCACTGCCTGGGAAAACAGCTAAGCTCTACACCATGACATGAAGGTGAACAGATCTCAGGCTTGTCTACATGGTAGGGTAACGGTCTACGGGGGTGTGGTTTCTAAAGCGCAGACCCGTGTAGACCCTGCTGGTATACACAAAAAGTTCTCTAGTATGCTTTAACGTAGAACCATGTTAAAGTGTGCCAGGTGGGTCTCCACAGACCAATTAATGCACAACATGTTAGTGCACTTTAGAAATCACTCTCCTCCCCCAGCCCATAGAGTGCATCGCCCCACCACCCTTCCCCATCTAATGCATTGGATCAGCTGTTCCTATAACCAAAATACTCATATACATGGTGAGGGCATAAGAGGAAGGGCCTGTAAGGCTAAACCCATATCAGGGACCATGGTCCCAGATGCTACTATTGGACAGCTACCCTAAAAGCCAAGGGAGAGGGATTCCTCACAAGGTTCACTTGTCCAGAACTGAAATCCTTCGCAGGTCTGGCTGCAAAGCGTTGGCATTACCAACGCAGAAGACCTGTATCCTACTCTCACCGTTTGCAGAAATATGTGCAAGCAAGCTCAATGGCAAACCTTACTGAGATTAAACCATCCTTTCGGTTGGTTCCAAGTTTCAAGAATATGGGAAAGAGCCAGAACCAGCAGCAGGGCCAGCTCCAGGCACCAGCTCAGCAAGCAGGTGCTTGGGGCGGCCAAGGGGAAGGGGCGGCACGTCGGGCTCTTTGGCGGCAATTCGGCGGCGGGTCCCTCGGTCCCTCTCGGCGGGAAGGACCTGCCGCCGAATTGCTGCCAAAGAAGAAAGCTGCACGGAGCTGCTGCCGATCACAAATGCGGCTCCCCCCCCCCCCGCCGCTTGGGGCGGCTAAAACCCTGGAGCCAGCCCTGACCAGCAGGTCCACCCTTCAACCCCACCTTGTCAATGGGGTCTAATACCGATGAAAGCATTTCCCTTAGAGGCACAGTGCTGTAAAATGGCTATCATGCATGTGATCCTGCTTCTGCCTACTAGAATAGGCCCGTCCCACAGAGGTCAGCTACTTAAACTGCCATTGGAGGCACTTCCAGCAAAACCATCTTCCATGAAAATGAGCTGATGAGGAGATTGGGCTAGATGGTGCCCATGGTAAATGTGGCCTCAATAGAAACCAACCATCAATTTCTGCTTGTGTCTTCTGTTCCGGTGGCCATGCAATGAATGTTCTTCCCCCAGCACACACCATTATCTGTGTTCTCAGTCTCTTCTGCATGTATGGTTATTGCAGACATGTTTTTGATTCCTGCTTTTTCCAGGAAGGTGCTATCTTCTTCTGTGTCTGGCTGGTGGGGATGAGTGGGGGCCAAAATAGAAGCATCCTGTTCACATAGTGGGGATGCAAGAATTTACTCCTGCCCCGCTATGATCTCAGGTTGCGCTCTGAATCCTCCACCCCACATTCATACAGCTAGCCTCGTGCCTCCGAGAAGGGAAGTCATGTTTGGGAGCAAAAGGGCAGAACAGGTAGAGGCCTTCTGCAGCAAGCCATCTGGTATTAGGGAGAGCACCTGGAGGTTGGGGATGGTGAACATTTTTTCAGTTTGTCTAGGGCAGTAAAGACCTTAATGAACACTGCCAGTGCTGGTTCTGTTTCCTTCTGGAGCTCTGATCCATACACGGGCCTAAACATATCCCTGACATGATTTGGAGTACTTCTGAGTCCAGGTGGCACTAAGCTGCTGCTTCATGGGAAGGGTCAGGCTCTTAGGACAGCTCCTCCCCCAGTCACCAAGTGGTCCACGGGGGAGAGGGAGTGTGTTCAGAGCAGCTAGGGTAAGAGCATGCATTGGGAATGCTGCAAAATCACGTCCCTCTCTGCAGGAAACTCCTGCTCATGCTGAGGAACATGGGAACATGGCTGAGGAACATGCAGCAGAAACACCAGGGACACTGAGACTTTTAGAGCTATTGAGGAGTTAGTGGTGGGGAGGTGGCAGTGAGACAAGAGAGGGGAAAAAGGGGTGTCAGGATTATAGGTACAAAACCACCCAGAGATTACGTGGTGGGGATAAAGAAATTGGATACATCTGAGGGGGCAGAAATGAGGGCAAATTGTACAAAGGGGACACTGAATTTCTGGTTGGGGCCCCATCTGCATAGTATTACATTGCTAACTATAACATCATAGTTTAACTAGCCCCCCTGTATTTGATTCTTATAACATCAGATCCCCTTCCAAACAAGAAAAGTTTCCATAATTGAAGGACACAGACTTGAGAAACTTAGTCCTAGATTCAAGTTCATTGAGTCGAAAGCCAGTCCGCCCATTACCTGAGCAGTTAATAAAATCTATCGCCCTATGATGGATTTTTTTTTCCTGCAGGCTAGAATTGATCTGTCTTCGTTGTGATTTGTGAGATGGAGGGAAAACACAAAATATAATCAGGATTTCTGCTGCACTGAAAAACTCCACTATGTTGCTTTTCCAGGGCTTGCAAGTAACTAAAGCTGCAGTGGTCATTTTTTTGATTTATTGAAAATAAAGCACACCTTATTAACATTTTAATAAAGAGAATCTCTTTGCACCGGTGCTCTGAGTTGCTGTTATTTCCCCCTGTGCAATTCCATTCTCTGAAAGAGCAAAATACTAATGAAATCCATAAAGCATGATTTGTAAGACTGAAACTAAACACACACATTCACCAAAGCCAAATGATTTCTAAAGGTGCTGTGTTTGTGAGAGGTGCTTGCCCAATATGTGTGATGCAAAATGGGGATGCTTTGTGAAGAAATCATCCTTGTAAAGCTATTGGTTCTGGTCATCAGACTCTATCCAATGCTTTAGTGATGATGCTGCTGATCTATTTGGGAAGTTGGCTGGCTCTCAAGGCAGAGTCTCTTCTCAAAGGCTGTTTCACAGTGAAAATATGCTCAGTGCAGCCGAGTGCATGAATGAAAAAGCCTCCGGTACCGTCTAGTCTGGCAAAATGCAGCACAAAACTCAACTTACTCTGCCCTTTCTACTATCCCAGGTAAGAAATGGGATTTTTTTTTCTTGCTTTCATTCATCTTCTCTCTTCTGCATTTGGATTTGGAAGTATTTGTGATTCAGGTCTGATTTCTGAGTAATTATACGTTGCTCGAATTACTGTTGAAGGAGGCAAGATCTCTGTTATAAGGCAGTTGCCAGGAATGTAGAATCTCATATCTCCCTGATTTACAATTACAACAGATTTGCTCTGTGATATGTAATAATGTTTTCCTTTCAGGGGGAGTGTGTGTGTGTGTGTGTGTGTGTGTGTGTGTGTGTGTGTGTGTGTGATCTTTCAAGTGTTTCGGTAGCAGCAGCAATATTTTGTCATATCAAATCCTGCAACTTTGATATGCCCTTTTCCTCTGTGGCTTGTGCCGGTTAGAAGAGTCTGTTATAGACAGCTCACCTTATTTACTGCTTTCTAGAAAAAAGATGCGGATGGAAAAAAAAATCCCCCCTCCACCTCTTGACATGTATAGTACTCAGTGTTAGTGACTTACTATGTAGCCTTTCCCCTTATTAACTGTAATAGATCCCCTCTGCCAGAAAGCAGAAAAAACTCCCAGCCTTGAAACCCAGGGGGCTGCTCCAGCCCTGCTGCTTCTGTCACTCAAAGCAGAGGCACTAGCTGAGTTCTTTCTTCTCTCTACCTTTTGGTTTCTTTCTCCCTCTTTCTCCCTTCCCCCCTCCCCCCATACCCCTTTTATACGTTTAGTTTTGAAAGCACCGTGTGATGTTTGAGGTTTCTTTATTGGTGTCCGGAGTGAAACACATATTTTGTCCTAGTAGCTCTGTAAGCTCCCATTGAGGGAAAGCATCGCCGGCTCCCCTTGAGATAAAAGTTAATTCCTTTTTGACTTGGGGCTTGAACGGCTTTGTTAACCCATAGGAGCCCGGCGTGTGTTGGACTGCTCGTGCTTGGGATGCTGAGTCTGTGTGTGCATCCGCGGTCTCTGAACGGATTTTAAGCTTCCTTTTACAGAATGAGAGAGAATGGTGAGGGCTCATTGCAGGGAAAGCTTTGCTGCTGAGGGGAGGCATGCCGAGGGTCTGTGAGCAGAAGGCAGCTGGATAAACTGAGTGCATGCTCGCTGTGGCTCAAGGGTGGGCATGCTTGGCTTCTAGTGCAACCTGTCTGCAGCTGGGAGCGCCCATGTGGGTGGCTGGTGAAACTACGGTACAAAGTGAGAATTGGTGTCTTGCTGGGAATTTGCTTGAGGGAGCGGATGGGTGGGTTCGACTGCCTGTGCACTAAGAAGAGTCCCACTTAAAGGGAACAGCAGAAGAAGAGGGATGGTGCAGAGTCTGGTTCTTTATAAGTTGTGTGTAAATGCTGCTATTCTAGGTCACGTCCATGGGGCCAAGATACGGCGGTGATGGGAGCATTAGGAATGCTCATGCTGGCGATGTGTATATGGGAGGCCACATAAACAACGCTAGGCTCTATGGGCTGCCTGGATGGGCATGTAAATGGGCAGGGGGTCAGGCGAGCTAAGCTGCTAGCTGAGGCTGCACACATGGGAGCGTGGGCATGCTGCTGCCTGCGACTGGCATGGCCTGAGGCTCTGGGACTGGCTGGCAGTGCCCGCGTGGGCATCAGGTTGGAGATGCTGCAAGAATGGGCTGAGATTCAAGGGCTGGCTGGGACTGAACGGGCAGGCAGCTGGGCAAGGTCAGCTGCCAGCAAAGGCTGAATCATGGAGAGAACAGGTGCTAACCAGAGAGGGTGCAGTCTGGGAACACCCAACGCTGCAGCGGGAACCTGGCTCATGCACTGAGCTGACACCCTCACCCAAGACTTGAGGACTGCCATCTCCACTGCATTTCACCCTGCTTTCTCTGTGACTTCAGGCTTTTCCATCCTGTGGTTTTTTTAATGCATCAAATTAGTCAGCTCAGGCTTCTGTTCTTATTCAAACAGTCCTCTTTTGTCAAGAAGCAACAGGAAGGCACCCTTTCAATAACACTCCACCAATGGCCTGTTGAGAAAGGAGCTTGCATTTTAGAGTCAGCCAAGCACTTCATAGTCTATTAGTGCCCTATCCTGCAAGGTACTGAACACCTGATCCTGCAAACCACTGTAGCACGTGCTTAACTTTAGGCACGTAAGTAGCCCCATTGAAGTCACTGGGGCTGCTCACATGCTTAAGTTAAGTAGCTGCTTAAGTGATTTGCTGAGTTGGGGCCAGAGAGTTGAGCATAATACAGGATTGAGTTCTTAGTGTTTCATAATACCCAGTGTTGAAGGGGGTTCAAACTGTGATCCATCCTCTCCTATCAGGATGGGAAGGTTTAGCAGGCAGTCTACCTAGGGATTTTTTTTTAAAAAAATGTACTTGATTAAAAAAAAAAACCTATAATGTCAGCAAGTGAATTCATTAGGAAATCAGTTCAATTGGTAATAAGAAAGTGTACACCTGTTCTGTTGAATATAGTCAGGGTAAAATATTAATTGTTGGCGATACATGAGACATAGACAGTGGGAGGGGAGGGCAAAGGGGAATTATTAAAATGCTGTTCAGATATCCTCTTAGACTCAACGCGCACACAGAACTTTCATGTGACAGGAGGAGTAAACAGAAGAATGGGAGAAACAACATATTAAACAAATGTAGCCATCTGGCACTGGTAGTGTTTGTAACACATTTTTGTTAGGTATTTTTTTTTTCTTCACAGCAGTAACAACAGTTACTTCTATAACCTCATGCTAGTGGAACTAGCAAAAATCAATCCTGATAAGCTGCTTTCTAAATAATGAACATCAGTAAATGCAATACTTTTGGGGGACAGTGGAGGAAAAGCATAATTCAATTTCAAAACAACAAGGGATACATTTGGGGGAGGGAAAACAAAGCAAATCTATACTCTGCAGAGTACATTCCCGGCCATGAGAATATTAAATGTACAGAGATGAAAGTTTTATATTTTTATTTTTTCAGGTCAAAAGTAATTAATAAAAGAAAATCAGTCTTTTAAAACATAAATTGACATTTTTAAATAGTCAGTGGTTGACAAGTACAGGCTAAGAGCCAATTTTCCAGACATTATACCGTCATCCTCGTTGGCCAAGTGTACTTTATGAGTTGGTTTGTTTGGTGAGGGTTAACCTATATTAGGAAGATGATTGATCACTGGATTTTAATTTGCTATCCAAAAGACAGTCTACTTGATGGGATTGTTTTACTATCATTTATGTCTCTCATAATTTGATGGAGGAAGACTGTTTCTCAGTATCTCTATCATGTGGCTAAAGAGGACATATTCTTAGGAGCCCATCGGTTTATGGTAATCTTTAAGATTTTGCAGGAATATGTGCACTGTACAATTTAATCAGTCTGAAGCTGACAGTGAAAGTTTGGAAGGTTTGCTAGTAACTTGCATCTGTGCATTTAATCATAAAAAATACAATCGGGAGTAAATACCTATAGATGGCTAAATAGTTCTCCCTACATAGAAAACTTAATTTCACCAAAACTAATATTTGCTAAAATTTACATACAAAAGTTTTATTTGTAGGAAAATATAATTCTTCAAGGGGGTTGCTTTGGCATGTCTATGTACTACATTGAAATATGGACAATTGAATCCAACTTTATCATCAGTTTGAAACCAACAGTATCATCAAATGGCTGTCAGTAGGTTATACAGATAATTGTTCTGCTATAGCTTACAATATAAGGAAGCTACAGTGTTTGAGAATTCTAGGAATCAATGTGATGTCTACATATATTGTTATCAATATATATATTGAATAGCTAGTTCCAGAACACATCCTTCATACATACACACCAACACAGCTGTAAGAATTATTCAGCTGTCCTTTATTTTTCAAATTTCTCCAGAAGAGGGCTCCATGCACAGCATGAAAGTTAAAAGTAATATCTGAAAAGCATTGGAAGTTGAGCAGCTGCAGGAAAAAGAAGAATCTCATTCGCAAACAGAAACTCTGTAAAAATAACTTGAAAGATTTTGCTCAAGTTCTAGTCTCAAACATTTCCTTCTTGTCTTGTTATTGCATCTGATTTGATGGCATAATTAGGGTTACTTATAATTTCAGAGGCCTACATCGAGAAAGTTATGTATCATGTAGTCGTACTTGGGACTTTACCCTTTTAACCCGGAACTTACTGGTTGAGTACTTTATTTTTGCATGCGATAGCACAATAATGATTGGACAATTTTCTTCAAATGTCGCTTTAAAAAAAGGCCTTGTTCTTCCATGCCAAATGTTATCTGGATTATTTTTTTAAATCAGTGGAGTTGTATCTGCTCATACGTGGTGTGAAAATGACCCAGGGGGCTAACACTCCTGCTTCTGTGGACAGTGCCAAGGAATTTTTAACATCTCACTCCGACGATGGTACCTCCAAATAATACAGTGCCTTGTAGCATCATGCTGTGGCACTGGTTTAATACCGGCTCAGAAGGAAGCATGACCCCCGCTGAATCATCAATGTCGCTACCTGCAGCAACTCTGGGTTTTCCCTTGCACAGGATCTGACCAGACCCAACAATTCTGGCCATGTGAGATCTGAAACAATCGCAGGCCGAGATGGTGTGGCAGTTGATAATGGAAATGCTGCTACAACTTTATCTGTAGTGTCGTAAATGGTACCGCTATAGCAGAGCACATTAAATATTGCTGGATCTTACTTTCCTTCTCTGCAAGATATTGGAGATGTATCTAGTTTATTCAAGCATTTAGTGGCATTGATAAGACGATGAAATTAGTTTTCACCTAAGTCCTGTTGTGCGCAGTGCTTTTGGTGTGGCAAACAGGTGACTTTACAACCTCTCACTGCATAATGAATATTGGAGTAATTTTGGTTTGTCAAATAAAAAACAAGTACATTGGGAAGTAGTCTCTAGTGACTGCTACCCCACGGAAGGAGCAGGAGCTTTTAGTGTTGTACAGCTAGCTACAGGAATGACTATAACTGCCCAAACAAGTTGGCTCTCTTCCTTTTAACATGTGAAGACAGAGGAAGAGAACAGAGC